ATTCATGTAAAAGTAGCTCTGAGTAAAACAAATCTGATGTGAGTATAACATTTAAAAAGATGAATACTGTCTAAATCTACAGTAGCAAATTGTATGTGGGAATGATCACAGACTGGAAAACTGGCATAGAGCCACAGACTGAATAACAAATAACAGAGTTGGAAGGGACCTTGGAGGTCTTCTAGTCCAATCCCCTGCTCAAGCAGGAAACCCTATCCATTTCAGACAAATGGTTATCCAATCTCTTCTTTAAAAACATCCAGTGTTGGAGTACCTACAACTTCTGGGGGCAAGCTGTTCCACTAGTAAATTGTTCTCATTATTAGGAAGTTTCTCCTTAATTCTAGGTTGCTTCTCTCCTTGATTAATTTCTTTGTGACATCCCCTTAGATATTGGAACACTGCTATCAAGTCAACCCTAGTCCTTTTCATTAAACTAGACATACCCAATTCCTAAAACTGTTCTTCGTATGTTTTAGCCTCCAGTTCTCTAATCATCTTTGTTGCTCTTATCTGCACTCCTTCTAGAGCAGGGATGTCAAACTTGATTTCATTGAGGGCTGCATCAGGATTGTGTTTGACCTCAGAGGGCCGGGGTGGGTGTGTGGCTGGGGGTGGGAATGGTCATGGTGGGTGGAGGAGGTACAAGAATACCACTCAACAGTCACGCCCCCTGCCCCCTGCTGAAGACTAGAATCAAAAACCCCTTCCATCAGACATCCCCCAACCTGGGATCCCCCCCTGCTGGCAGGGATGAGAGGTGTTGCATCTGTCCTCTCCAGCTTTTGGGGGGCTGTGATAGATTGTGGTTGCTTTTTTATTTCTTCTTTAGGAAAAAAAAACCCAGACAAACACACTCATCTGAGTAACAAAAATTATTGCTTTGTGTTTCCACAAAGTATTAATTAGCCGAGTTTCCCTCTCTTCTTCTGCCACCAAGGAAATTCACCTAATATTTTTCATGTTGCTTAAGGAATTGGGGGGGGGGGGGGGAATTCTGCCAGTGAGAGTCTGGAGCCGACACTGTGGGAAAGGAGGAAGGTGAAGGAAGGAGCTAAAGGATCTGCAGGGAAAAACTAATCCCTAAGCTTTTTCTTAGGATTTAGGTGAGAGGCAAAACCCAACAAGCTAAAAACTTGAATTAAGACTAACTTCCAACTAACTGGCAGACAGGAAACTTTCATGCAGGGAATAAGATTCATAAAGGCCAGATTCCTGATGTCATTTTCTCCATGTAGGGTGTTTCTCCTCCTCTGCTGCCTCAATCTGACATTGGGATACCCTCAAAAAGTTTGACACTGCTAACTGCAGACCTGCAGCAGAGTGCTACTGGAGGCCGGGAAGGCTGAAAATGGGCCATGTGGGGGCCTTGCGGGGCCTCCGTGCAGCCTGTTTTTGGCCAGCACAATGCTGCAGGAGGCTGTGGAGGCTGAAAACGGCCACACACCCCCACCCCCTGTGGCCCATTTTGGCCAGCAGAGGCATCATGGGCTGATCCTTTGATACTTCCAGGCTGGCCCTGCAGGTCAGATGGCCTTGAGTTTGACACCCCTGTTCTAGAGTTTCTACATCTTTTTTATATCATGGCAACCAAAACTGGATGCAATATGCCAAGTGTGGTTTTACCCCAAGGTATTATAAAGTGGTATTAGCACATTATGTGATCTTCATTGTATCCCACTGTTAATGCAGCCTGGGACTGCATTGGCTTTTATGGCAGATGCTGCAGGACTCCAAGATCTCTCTCGCAGTTACTACTGTGTTTCCCGCAAAATAAGACTGGGTCTTATTTTCTTTTGGGTCCCAAAATAAGCACTAGGGCTTATTTTTGGTGTGTGTCTTATTTTCCCCCCATGTACAGAAGGCCCACTTCTTCTGCTTGTTCGCAGTGGGGCAGGAGAACACGCGGTGTGCCACTGCCACTGCCACGAAGCAGGGAGGTGGAGTTTCCCCACATGGGCTTACCACAGGGGAGCCACACCCCATTTTGGCTGGCTGAAGGGAGAGAATCACAAACTTTAAGAACCAGTAAAAGAGGAATGGAAAAATCCCTATCTGTAGATCAGAATTTCTTAGTCTTGCCAAGTTTAAGATGGGTGAACTTCATGCTGCCTGGGGAATTCTGGGAATTGAAGTCCATGCACCTTAAAGTTGCCAAAGTTGAGAAGCATGGGTTTAGACTAGAGTTTAGGATTTTCCATTCCTGTTTTATTTAGTGTTTGGTGCAATTAAATAAATCAGTTGTGGTTTCCTTAACAAATAGTGATTAAAGCGATATGAACCATTACTGGATTTTTTGTGAGAAACTGAAATTAAAGGTTGATCTGGGGCTTTGATTATTAGATATGGGATTATGGAAATAATGTAGACAAATGTTAATCTTAGAGTAAGAGTTTGATATATTTTTTACTTATATCAGGGTTGAATTGTGGGGTCCTTGGTGCTCTCTGAGCTTGATGGTTTTCTTGCAGATGTTTCATTACCAAACTAGGTAACATCATCAGTACTAGAAGGGAGTGGAGTTTGCTCTTATTTTCATATACTAGTGGCTTACCCTGTCAGTGTTTTTTTTAATAAAGATTGTTATGTTTTAAGACAAACATATACAGACAAAACAAAAAAACATAGAACCATCTTCCAGTTATATACATACAGTGTGTCAGTTGGTTACAAATCTTTTGTGCTATCCTTTCATAGTCCTTACTCATAGGTTGTATAGGTTGTCACATTGTTGATCTAACATATGCTTATATATTTATCGGTTATAAATCATTCATTTAACTAAACTATTCCATCATTTTATACGAGATATTCTAGATTTTATTATACATTTATATTATGCATTTGTCCAATGGTTATATATTTTTGTATTATGTTCTATATCAATCTATTAGTCTTCTATTATAAAATTTCCTGGTCTATTTCATTGCCATGTCTTTTTATCTAACCATTGATAAAATAAGTCCCATATCCTATAAAATTGTTTATCTTCTTGTTCTCTAATTTCAAATGTCAATTTACTCATTTCTGCACAGTCCTTAATTTTCTTAATAACTTCCTCCTGCATAGGTATTTTTTCATTTTTCCAATTCTTAGCAAATACAATTCTAGCTGCTGTTAAAACATTTACAATCAAATATTTCAATTCTGTATTGTATATTTCCGGTATAATTCTCAATAAAAATATCTCTGATTTAAAGTCTATGTGTTGTTTTATCATTTTTTCCAACCATGTGTGGATTTTAGTCCAATATCTTTTTGCATCCAGACACGTCTACCACATATGGTAATATGAATATATCTGATGACATTTCCAACATTTATCCGATTTGTTCTTAAACATTCTCGCAATTCTCGTCGGGAGTAAATGCCACCTGTAAAACATCTTATACAAATTTTCTTTATAAGCAGTTGACATTGTCATTTTATAGTTCTGAGACCACAATTTTTGCCATTTCTCTAAATCAATTCCATATCCAAAATTTTCCCCCAAGCAATCATCATTTCTTTAACTTGTTCTTCCTCTAATTTAAATTCTAATAAATGTCCATAGAGTTCTTTAATTACCTTTTCATCAGTACCTGTCAAAATTTTATCTAAATCAAGTCAACTTATCATAGAAACCTTCTGTTTTAAGATCTTTATCAAATCTAGATTGTATTTGTACATATGAAAACCAATTCATTTTTATACCTTGTTCTTCCAGCGCTTGCATAGATTTAAGTTCACCCTTTTCATTCAATATCTCACCATATTTAACTGTTCGTTCCTTTTTATATGTTATTGGATAAGAAAAAGCTTTGATAGTAGATAACCATAATGGAATTTTTAAATAATATTGCTTTTTTATCTTCTCCCAGTTTAAAAACAATGCCTCTCGAATATAATGTCTTCTAAAATACCCCTCTGTCAGTGTTGATCAGTTGCTTCACAAACAGTGTTTTGATTGGTGCCGGGTCTCTACAGCCTCAGGCAGAGAAGGGCTATTCTGCACCCCTCCCTCAAATGTTCTTTAAAATACAGAGTTTCCCAGCATTCCTTTAGGAACCTCCAACATGCAAACTGTGGTTACTCTTCCTAAAATGAATCCTCTTTACCTGGAGCTTCAAAATTTGCTGTTTGCTGGGGAGGTGTGTAGCTAAAAATCAGTCTACATTTAGTCTACATCTGACTTTGGGGATATTTCTTCATAACCAAACAAAAGTGTATTTTCTGTGCAGCTCACACCCCTTGCCGCTGGATCAGGATGTCACAAAGCAAAGCCCACGTTTTGTAATTAACCCCCGCACCCCATTGTGGCTGGCAGAATGCTGCAGCCACCCACCATGACCATGCCCCCCCCGGCCACGCCCCCCCCCCCGGCCCTCCGAGGTCAAACACAACCCTGATGCGGCCCTCAATGAAATTGAGTTTGACACCCTTGCTCTAGGCAGCTTACAAAAAATACTTTCAAGTCTTGCAAGATTCTGTTAACGTAGCCTTACAATAAAGGTAGAGCTACGGTAGTCCTTGTGGTTGTGTTTCTTGACTGAACTACCTTGAAGGGCTAATACAAGTAAGTTGGCTTTGGATTTTCAGGTTGGGGGAGGAAGGGTTAGAGTTTTTGACATCTTGGGTAGTTTTGGATAAAGCGTTTCTCACTTTATGAGAATGAGTCAAAGTGAATGAGTCTGTACACTGAGAATTGCTAATGAATAATTGCTCTTTCTGTCATGTCGTATTCAGTTTTGTTTTCTTGTCCAGGGTTTCCATATTCAGAAGTGGAAACTTGTAAAATACAGGTGAATATTTTTACTATGTGTAATTAAGTTAGCCCACCGTTGGCCTTAGATAGCCTAAGTAAACTGATTAAGACATTATTTTTAATTAACTGGATCATGGTGTTTCAGGTATGATCAGTACTTTTAATGTCTGTAAACTCAATGTACTTTTTTTTGCTTTTGTATATTATGTTTAAAGCCCTTGAAGTATTTGACCAAAAGAATCATTCTGTTTTTCAGTTTGAATTATTTTACAATCAACATTTCAGTGGAAGGAAACTTACCTGGTTACATTATCTTTGCACAGGTAAAATTAACCTAAAATAAACCTCTTTAGCTTTTGAAAGCATAACTATAATTTTTTTTTGCTTAACTGAAACATATACAACTTTTGAAGTTTTAATGATAATAATAATGAAACATTAAATTCAGATTATTTTCTCTGTCTTAACTAATCTGGTTATTTTAATATATCTCAGTTTGATATTTTTACTACATCTCTTGTGATTCTTATCTGTAAAAGCAATTGCTTTAAAATTTATATTTTATATTCTTGATCGATCATTTTCCAGAAAAAAATGTTAAAAATGAATTTCATGAGTATAAGTTGAAGACAAGAAAATTTTACAATAAAAAGTGGATTAAGGCATACAGGTAGTCTTTGGTTTATGACCACTTGTTCAGTGATCATTTGAAGTTACGACAGCAGTGAACGAGTAGTACTTATGGCCTGTTCACAAAGTTTCAGCCCTCCCAGCACCTCCTCGGTCACATCATCAGGATCTGGGTGCTTGGCAACCACCTCACACTTAAAGTGATTGCAGCATCACATGATCACCATTTGTGACCTTCCATGTTGGCTTCCCACAAAGTCAAAGAGAAGCTGCCAGGGAAGGTCACAAAATATTCTCAGAGTTCTCATACTCTGTTGCACATGTGCCCATAGCACCCTCACACCAGTGTACTTTCACCCACCCAGAAGCAGCCAGCCTTGCTGTGCTTGTGCTGTGGTGGCCACCTGCGCATCCTGTCACCTGGCAACAGCCACCCCTGGCCCCACTATACTCATGCCACACTGCAGCAGCCACTTGCAATCTGCCTGGGACTTGTGACTTTCTGTTGGCTTCCCCACTGACTTTGCTTTCTGGAAAGGCAACAGGAAGTTGCGAGGAGGGTGCTGGCATAACACCCCATGCTCCTCACTTAATGATGGCAACAGGGACTGCCAGATTGCCATTACTAAGCAATGCAGTCATGTGATGTTGCACTTTATGATCATATGGCTTAGCGACAGAAATTCTGGTCCCAATTACTGGTATTAAGTGAGGATTACCTGTACATGCAATTCTGAGCTTGAACCAAAAGTTGAGTATGTTTGATGGAAGGACAAAACTGAAAGCATCATGGATAAAAGTAAAGCATAAGCAGGTGGCACCATGCAGCTAATTTTGGCTGATTGGAGGAACCCTAAGATTGTCGGCTAAACAGGGAAATTGAAAAAATACACTGAAAGAAGATGGCGCCAAACTACTGCTTTGTTGCCCAAAGAATATGTGAATATAGTCACATAGCCACCAGGCCTGGAGCTTCAGAGTCTTTATATTTTATTCAGGAGAGTTCAGGGCACTGTGTATAAATGTTATGGCAAACAAGGTTTTTACAATACCTACACATGTAAGTTTTATTCAAATTCTTCTCTTTTAAATTAGCTGAATCAAGCATTTTAACTTAATTTTTTTAAAAAAAGCTTCTATAGTCCCTGTTAGTTTTCAAAGTAGTATCCTTTTTTAAAAATCTTAATTTCTCTTCAGGACAATCTTGCAAATTCAGTTCTTGTTTCTGAATTGCCCTACCCTTGGATCAAAGGTGACATCATTCTTGCACCCAAGGTGAAGGAACAATGAGATGCTTTATTAATAATATGTGAGGTTTTTATTCAATTAATTCATCAGCTTTATACTTAATTTGCAGGTGAGGTAAAAATGAATTATTTGTGCAAGCCGTATGTAGCCATGGTTACCACCTACCAAATGGCAGTGCTACTGGCCTTTAACAATAGTGAAATCATTAGTTACAAAGAACTCCAGGATAGCACACAGATGAATGAGAAAGAACTGATCAAAACTATCAAATCATTACTTGATGTCAAAATGATCAACCATGACTCAGATAAGGTAAGTTTTTTTAAAAAAAGACACTATCTTTTTTTTGAGGTGGGAGGCATTTTATTATTATACATTTTGAAAAAAATACAAATAGAAGGTACAGATAGGAAAAACAGGTACGGTAGAGAAATACATGGATAAGCAACAAATCGGAACTCTCATGAAGCAAATATAATACAGGTGAAACTCAAAAAATTAGAATATTGTGCAAAAGTTCATTTATTTCAGTAATGCAACTTAAAAGGTGAAACTAATATATGAGATAGACTCATTACATGCAAAGCAAGATAGTTCAAGCCGTGATTTGTCATAATTGTGATGATTATGGCTTACAGCTCATGAAAACCCCAA